GAAAACTAAAAATAGGCTTAAACCATGTACGGAAAATTATAATATTTTTCGATTTTGTAAAAAATCATCAATAATGAGTGAAATAATTCGGCTTCGCCTCGATTCGTTAAATGTACTTTTTTAATATTTTAATTTTCTTCGCCAAAAATAACAAAATAATTAAATTCTTAACTAAAATAAATACTCGGTTAATTTATTATTTTTTTACTTAAACATTATTTCATTATTCCATCAAAATTTATTTACTGATAATTTTAGTTATAATTATTGAAACACACTCAAAAACAATGTCGCTTATACAATAAGAGAATAAAAAAAATTAAAATAACCAAATTTATAACGCATTTTTTTTTAATTAAACCTGTTTTCAGCCGATTTAGATAAGTATAGTAAAATATTTTTCAGAAACCGGTTTGAACTAATTTGTTTTTAAACTTTTTTCAAACTTATTTTTAAAAGCTGTATTTAGACGAACCGGTTTTAAACCGGTTCAGAATCAGATTTGCCGTTTAGTAAAATATATTTACTATCTTAATATTTCATTTTTTCTTCAAAAAAAAAAAACAAAAAAATACTACAAATGACCAAATGAAAACTAGTCTTTTATTTTCTCTTATTTGAAAATTACCCGACGTAGTTTTTTTTTTAACTTTAACTATAAATGTACAGTCTTAGTCAAAGTTTATGTCTTTTATACAATGAAAAAAAATTGAAGAATTTTATGTTAAGGTTTTGTTAAATTTTATGTTAATATTTTTATCAAAATGTATCTTCACATACAGGATGTGCCAGAATTCGCGCCCCATGTCATGCACGATAAGATACCTAAAACATGAAAAAAAATGTAAAAAAATTCTACCTATAAAAGTTTCAAAGTTATGAGAGTTTAAATTTTGCACTTTGACTCTATTTATTTCTGTTGGAAAAATAATTTTCCAATTTTTTTTACTACAGGCTATTAGAAGAAGTAGCAATAAGGAAGCTGTATCCTAAATTGTAACTATTGTAACTCTGTTTAATGTTATTTGTGGTTTTTATTAGCAAAATTTTTGTACCTTTACTTGTAATTATAAAAAAAAACGTATACTAAAAGATCATCAAAAAATAAACGTCAAATATTTTTTGACAGAATTTTTTAAACATTTTTGTCATATATATTATCTTACTTGAAAATTTTCTTTAGGGCGCGAGTTCTGATACCCTGTATACAGAGTGAGTTACCTAAATTTTTAATAGGAATATTTGAAATAAAACAAATAGGAAATTTTTTTAGTAACAACAAAAATTGATTATAAAATTTCGAAAATTAATTATTGAAATAATGAAAAACAAATGAGATAGAATGTATAATTATTCACGCAATTAATATTGGCTGATTTAACAATTGTCATTTTTCAGTTTCAGCTTCAGTAATTAAAATATTTTTATTTTCATAGCAAAATTGTGTTTTTATTTTCATTTCATTACCATTTTATTTTCAGGTTATTTTTTCAGTTTGTCCTTAACCTTCACCTTGAATTATTTTTACTTATCTAATCTTTTACTTATCTAAAAAAAAAACACAATTTGCTTATGCAACCTCTGCAACAGTTGCGTTTCTCTGGTTGCCGTCCGAGGCAGCAAATTAGTCTTCCCTCCCGATTCATTTCTCCAAAAACGACTTTTAAGGCTTCGAAAACAAAGAAAATAAACGATATCGATTTAAAATTAGTCCATTGTTCATTGGCTATAAAAATAACAATGGCCGAGAAGCTTTTCTTCGACTCTGACCTTTCATCAAATGACAGAATCGTTAATTAGTCCTCGACGAAATGATCATTTTTCCCAATCGATGACTCGCTTTAGTGCGAATACGTGTACCAAATGAATAATTAAAAATTATCAAAACGCCAATTTTGCAAAAATGCAAGAGAGGGAGGCACTTTAATTGTCATTTAAATTGACCAATCGCAACAAGCGATTTTTATAAATTTCTTAACGGCTGTTGCGAGTTTCATTCGATTTTGTTGGCAACGGGAAAAATTTTTGATGAATTTGCATGGTTACTATGGTGATCGGATTGGGGGTGGGGGCGAGGGGGGATTTTGATAACACATAGATTTATATGCATGAATTTTACAACTATTTATTAATACTCCGAATCAATAGTGTTTTATATCACCAATTTCGGTAATTTCAACAAAAAAAATCAAAAAAAAATGCAACCGTACTCCCGAGTTGCATAAAATATGGCACGCACCTGAAAAAATAACGCATGAAAGAGGAGAGAGCGATGGTGCGTCGTGTGATGAACAGAGATGGACGATGATCATGTCCTACCTTCAACCGGATTGTATAATACGAGTATGTCGATTGTGATTAGTTTTATCTCGTTCTCTGTGTGTTTCTGTTGCACTCTCAGTACGCCAGAAATGCATTTTGAACCATGCGTGATCCCAAACTGACGAATTTATATTGATTTGTATTAGATAGAATTTAGTTTTGTCCAATGTAAAGCCACGGGATTTTTTTCAAATCGACGAAAAAAAGACAGATATATGCAACCATAAATACAGGACGGACGACACGATAACATAAAACTAGGAGGTTGGGTTAGGGGAAAAATATAGGGGACGCGTTGAGCTCGACAAAGGGCTCACCGAGATGTCTGCGAGTGGAATATTATTTATAGAAAAATTGCTAAAATTATGTAACTCAATTTAGTTTTCAATAAGGTGCGAACCTCGGCTTCGCCTCGGCTCGCCATCTAATTTTTGTATAAAAATTACTAAGACATTTCGGGTCTACCAAGAAAGTTTAGATTATTTTTTTAATAACTAAAACTTATAAACAATTGAATAATAAACTACAGTTTACACAATTAACTTCAGAAATCGGTTTAAACACGTTTTTGTTAAATTTGTTTTAAACTGGATTTTTGGGAATTGAAATTTTATTACTAGTGTAAAAACAGCTGAAAACAGATATAAACAAGTAGTTTTTTTTGTTAAGGATTATTATTGAAAATTAGTCAAAAACTTAATTATGTTAACATATTTTTCATAAAAAACAATAAAAAATTTACTGATGTGGGTAATAGTAGCCTCGGCTTTGCCTCGGATAGCTACTTTATGAATAAAATTGCTTAAATTTTAAACTAATTTAGTCTACCTCAAAAAATTGCTTTTGAACCTATTCAAAAAACGTCACATTTTTTTTTAAAAACCGGTTTAGGCAAGTTTTTAATTAAATTCGCCTTAAAACTATGTGATTTAAACCTTATTTTTTATGTTACTTTTAAAATAATCGGTTTTATATTGGATTTTGTAAATTGAAATTTTATTGGGTACTGGTTAAAACCGGTCCAGAAACAGCCAAAAATAGAAAAATATTGTTTTTGTTAAAGATTATTATTG